CCTCCGGATACCAAGTACGGATAATTTTCTCATACAAAGATCAAGATATATCTACCGTGCACCCCTGTGGCCAAATTCTATTCGCCGATGTAAAATACTGCTAGGTTAAATGTCTATTTCTCGATCAATTCGTCACCAATTTCGAATCCGAGATGTAGAATTTCTTCACTGCATTGAGACCTGTCGATTCCACGTCTCTATTTGCTGAAATTTTGAGAATTGAAAATGAAATAGCCTGGAGAAAATTTTGTGAGAAGTTGGTAGTTTATAGATGAAGAGCACCATACTGTATTACATTTGTCCTCGGTGCTATTTATACGGATACACAATTGCTATCGGGACCAAGGCCTTACATTTTTGGTTTTCTGAGTTACTTCGAAGTAAATGTTTCGTTGACAGTAGAGAGGTTTAGCACTCATCTTTATCATTACCCTCAAATGTTTCTGCCAAAAGCGGCAGTGTGCCTATCAAAACTAGTTAATGATACTGCGAAACTTTATTCCAAATCATTGGATTGGAAGGATTGTGAGGACAACCATCATTGTCCTCACATACCATTTTCACTGACATCCACCCAACCAAGGCCACCCCGACCAAGCGACGCAATTTCACCGAAGAGGAAGACATCATGCTACTGATTTCCCTCACTCTTTGAAACGCCTGATTATGAACAAGATTTGGAGAGTACCAAAATATAAAGTGAAAACAATATTAGTTTATGGAGCATCCTGGCTATTCAATTGCATGGCTGACACGTGCTCGCTAAACGACGACAGGTCAGTGTCGAGAATGCCAGTACGGTTCCAGCAGTTCACAACAGTGACCGTAAAAACGACGCGGTCGTTTTTACGGTCCTTGGCATCGGAACGGTAGCTTAGTGTAGAGTGTTGTTTAATAGCACGTCCAATTGTTGCCTTTGATGGTGTGGGTACAAGGGCAAACTTTTGAGCAGCCCAGGCCGCCAGCTCAGTGTACGTAGCAACTGGATGTTGCATGTGATGAGCATAAAGCTCGTGCTTTTCGGCCAAGGTCATGCGCAACTTCATGTTTTGAAATGCTAACCCAAAACTTGCTCCAACATGCATGTGAGCTTTGAATTTTCGAATTCACCTCCAGTTTCGATATTTATAAGTTTACAAAAATTATTCAATTTGACCCGTTTCAAAGAGCGAGGGAAATCAGTACTTCGGCAAGTCACGCTGAAAATGCCGTTCCAAGCACGACGTGGCCAAGTCATGGAGCGTTGGACTGAAGTAGCGTCGGGATTGAACACGGCCGATGAATTCAGACTCACGGACATCGATGCCAAGAAAGCATGTAACTGTTTCATCCTCCTTCTCGATGCCCATCGAAAGGCCAACAACCAGTCCCAACAAGCGTCCGGTGTTGCAGAGGACGTTGGTGAGAAGGTGGTCCTCCTAGATGACCTGATGGCGGCGTACGATGACGTTAAGGGCGCCA